AATGTAATTTAAAAGATGGCACTAAATATAATGTTGTATGGAAGTTGGTTATCAAGCCAAGAGTCAAGTTAAAGTTTGCAAGGCTTAAGTGAATGCAACCAACATTTGACTAATACTTCAAACTAGGAAATTAGAGTCATCCCTGCTTCTCTCATTTAGTCACCAAATTCTGTAGACTATAATTCCCAAATAACACCAAAATCTGTCTTTTCACATCTATCTTCAGTGGAGATGCCTTGACTTGGACCGTCATTGCCTCTCATCTGAGTGATTTCAATAGGATCTGAAATGCTATCTGTGTCCTCTCCCAGGCAAATGCAAGTTTTTTCATGGCTCAGTCTCTTCATCTTGACATTCTCTACTCAGTGTTTCAAAGATCAGTTCAATGCCATGGTATGGCAGTCTCTGACCTGCCCCCAAGCCCAGAAAGAGTTGGCTATTCTGTCACCTGTATTTGCATACCACTGAATATTCCTTTATTATAGCCCTTGTATTACTGTATTATTTGTATTGTGCCTGTCTCTTCTGAAGGGCAGCCATGATGTTTATCACCTCTCTGAATTCAAATAATTTGGTCAATGCCTGGCACAGAGCAGGCAGGCAGGCAGTGTTTGATTAACTAAATTGAATTCCAAACTGTTGGCAGTATCTTAAATGTCTCAGTTCACTCCACCCAACTGGAGTGGAGAACATGACTAGAACTGACATACTGTGCTATTGTCACTCACTTCCACTTCCATCCCCAGCCAGGAGACACAGTGCAAAGCTGTGTGAAATTAAAAAAATCACAGTCCAGAGATTTTAGGTATATGAACCATTTGATCATTTTTATCCCAGCAACCTTATCAACATGCTTTATAACAAGGAAGCTATTCAGCCAAATTAAAAAAACAGAAAAAAAAAAAAAAAGGTTCTAGTGAATTATTTCAGGAATAGAAAACTGAAAGATATGCTTTGTCAGTTTTCTTGGAAGATACTCTCCAAACTCTCACTGACTGAAAATAGGAAGAATTTTGATTCTTATACCAAAATGTTTGCCATGGTTGCACATCTACTTATTTTGTTTATAAACATCTCTGATGCTAAAAGACTTTATCCAATATATAATATTGGATTCTTTAGAAAAATTGCTTTTTTAAATCAATTGCTATACCCCAAATGAAGACTAAGTCACTATGCATTTCTTTAAAACATCAAAATATTATTAATATATTAAGGCTGAAAATTTATTTTTAAAGACAGTCTTAAAAATTACCTTTTGCATTGTTCAAGTAGTTTACTCATATCTCAAATCCAACTTAGAAGTATTTTTTTCACATAATACTCTTTCATATGAATTTTAATTTCTTCCCCAGTTTTCTTAATAATCCCATGAAAGGCTGAACACAATTCAAGTTGACATCTTTTGTTAACATAAGTTATTTGATTATGTAACGAAACTATTTCATTCACATAATAAAGCTCCAATATTTTTTTTCTTTTAAAATTATTTGGATTTTTTCCTTAGGACACATTCTTACAAATTAATTATTTTATCAAAGGATATGATCGTTTGCCTGGCTCTTGACAAGGTTTTCCAAGTTGTTTTTTTTTTATTGGAGTAGAGTTGCTTTACAATATTGTGTTAGTTTATACTGCACAGCAAAGTGAATCAGCTATATGTATACATATATCCCCTCTTTTTTGGATTTCCTTCTCATTTACGTCACCACAGAGCATTAAGTAGAGTTCCCTGTGCTATACAGTAGGTTCTCATTAGTTATCTATGTTATACATAGTATCAGTAGTGTATATATGTCAGTCCCAATCTCCCAATTCATCCCACCCCCTCCCTTTCCCCCTTGGTATCCATGTTTGCTCTCTCTGTCTGTGTCTCTATTTCTGCTTTGTAAATAAGATCGTCTAAAACTGAAGTAATTCAGTTTTCCAAGTTTTTTGAAATGAATTGTGCCAGTTTACTCTGACTCTAAAGAACTTGGGCAGATCATGTTCCCTGGGCCCCCTCTCCTAAGGCTCAACGAAAGAGCAGAGCCTTTGACTCCTGGTATATCCTGGACTGCATCTACCTGGGGGGTAAATTCACAGGAGAAAGGAGCCTGAGAGGGCCTCTACTGCCACCATCACTTCCTCCAATTTTGTTGCTCATACCACCACTCTTGCTGCAACAGTGTTGAAGTTCCATTACTGAAACTCTTCTAGGGTGCAGGCAAGGAAAGTCTTAAGAGCTCTGTCCCGCAGCGACCTCTGACTGAAGAGTCTTTTCTGTCTGTGACTGTGCACAATTCCAGAAGATGCAGATGTCTCAGCAAAGAGGAATGGAAGGCAAAACAAGCAAATACAACTTAAAATAGGTCTCCAAAATGTGGTCCTTCTTCAAGCTTTGGTATCTCTACCCAGTCCACCTGCTCTTATTTAATTTTTAGAGATCTCCAACAATTGTTTCATGAAGTTTGTCTAAGGTTTTCGCTGCTGTCAATGGGAGAGAGAATGGAGTGTACTTATTCTTTCTTTACTAGAAGCTGAACCTATGAATAAGTTGTTAATTGGGAAAATGTGAAAATGGATTTATCCTTTGCGTCACTAGCTGATTTCAAGGTTAGTGAGCTGCTGACCAACATATATTTGGTTTTGAGCTGGTCTGATCCAGTGACTATAAGATTTAACACTGATTCATTTCTTGGATATGCCTTATACTAGAATTACACCAGCTGGACAATTAACCCTATGTTAAATAGTACAAGCTAAGAAATATATAAGCGGTTCCCCCATCCCTTCATGTGGGAGCCCCAATCCGGGGGTCAGTAAATTGTTTTTCTGTCAGTGGTCAGAGAGTACTTTAGGATTTGTGGGACGTTTAGTCTCTTTTGCAACTACTCAGCTCTGTTGTAGTATATAAGCAGTTGTGGACAACATGCAAATGAATGGGCGTGGCTATATTTAGCCAACAAGCTGTAGTTTGCCAACTCCTGGCTTAGAACATTGAATTCACATCTTTGTGCCTTTGTATTGATACAGTACTAAAGTTGCTACAGTAAAAACCCATCATAACACTTCACGTGGATTCAAAATTGTCTATTGAGTAAAATGTGCATTTTTGCTATTTTGAGGTAAGCGACAGCTGGCATGAGACTGGACCACTAGTAGGCATGGGTCGTAGGATTTGCAAGAGCCAGTCACAAATTACTTTAACTTACATTTGCTTTATTATGTATGTGTGTCCTTCCTGTGAATCTCTTATGAATTAGATGGCCTAAATTAAGATTCTTATATATGATCCTATGTAATCTGAAAAGAGAAGACTTCCTAATTTCATTTCACAGGTTAAAGATATAGAAAAATATTTTATCCATTCCCCCATCTTCCTCCCCTCTGGTAACCACCAGTTTGTTCTCTGTACTATCTATGAGTCTGTTTCTGTTCTGGTTTGCTTGCTTGCTTGTTTGTTTTGTTTTTTAGATTCCACATTTGCGTGAGATCATACTGTAACTGTTTTTCTATGTCTGACTTATTCACTTAGTATAATAAACTCTGGGTCCATCCATGCTATCAAAAATGGCAAGATTTCATTTTTTATGGCTAAGCAATATTCCATTGTATATATATCACATCTTCTTTATCCATTCATCTATTGATGGGCACTTAGAAGGTTTCTTCCGTATCTTGGCTATTATAAATAGTGCTGCAGCGAACACAGGGGTGCATGTTTCTTTCTGAATTAGTGTTTTTGTGTTCTTCAGATAAATACCAGAAGTGGAATTGCTGGATCATATGGTAGTTCTATTTTTAGTTTTTTGAGCAACCGCTATACTGTTTTCCATAGCACCTGCACCAACTTACATTCCCACCAAGAGTGCACAAGGGTCCCCTTTTCACATTCTCCCCAACACTTGTTGTCTGTTGTCGTTTTTTTTGCGGTACACGGGCCTCTCACTGTTGTGGCCTCTCCCATTGCAGAGCACAGGCTTCGGACGTGCAGGCTCAGCGGCCATGGCTCATGGGCCCAGCCGCTCCACGGCACGTGGGATCTTCCCGGACCGGGGCACGAACCCGTGTCCCCTGCATTGGCAGGCGGACTCTCAACCACTGCGCCACCAGGGAAGCCCTGTTGTCGTTTTGATAACAGCCATTCTGATAGGCATGAGGTGGTACCTCATTGCAGCTTTGATTTACATTTCCCTAATGATTAGTGATGTTGAGTACCTTTTCATGTGTCTGTTGGCCACCTGTATGTCTTCTCTGGAAAAATTTCTATTCAGGTCATCTGCCCATTTTTTATTAGGGCTGTTTCTCTTTTTCTTAGGTTGAGTTGTATGAGTTATTTATATGTTTTCAGTATCAGCCCCTGATGATTACATCATTTGCAAACGTCTCCCATTCAGTAGGTTGCCTCATGTTATTGGTGGTTTCCTTTGCCCTGCACAAGCTTTTTAGTTTTATGAAATCCCGTTTGTTTATTTTTGCCTGAGGTGATGTATCCAAAAAAAAAATATTGCTAAGATCCATGTCAAAGAGGTTACTGCCTATGTTTTCTTCTAGGAGTCTTATGGTTTCAGAAACTAATATAACACTGTATGATGATTATAACTAAAAAACAAAGATATAGGAAAATAACATTTAAGTTGGCTTGAATAGAGAGTTCCCGGATTTCAAGTTGAAACATCACCTTACTAAAGACAGAATTTTCAGAGGTTAAGGTACTTATGAGCATTCAGTAAAACATTATTTGAGCCCCATTTTTAATATAGCACTCTAAACACAAAACAAACTATATTTGGCCTTTTGACCATGGGACCACATAAAAATAAGCCTTTCCTCTTTCCATATGGAACACAACTCTAAAACAGAAGTTTTACTTTTGTAAAATATCCTCACAGATAACTCACAATTACAGTTAGCCTAAGTTGAGGGGCTTCTTTATAAAAAAAAAAAAAAAGAGCACTCTCAATTTTCCAAATTCACAATTCAAAATTGTCTAGTTCTAATAACATCATGTTACTTACCATGGTTCTATTACCCGTACTTCAGAAAACAGACATGACAGGACTAGAAGAAATTATAAGACAAAACATAAATTTTGGAGTACGACAGATCTTGAGAAGATGCAATAACCAATGCCATAAAACAATATATTTTTTACTATAAAAATATAAGCAATATCTGTGTGGCAATTCATGCCCTAAACTGTCACCCTGCAAACACTCAGTAGAGTGTTTGAATAATTACAATTCAAGAAAGAAAAGAACCCATTATAAAACTGTGCCAAGTACTTAATAGGGATTAATAAGAAACCTAATTGTATAAAATATGAATGTAAAGATGTTCAAACACAGAGGAGAGGGCTATGCGAGAGGCAAAATTAGACTTAAAAGTATGTAGGAGGAGGGTACCTGAAAGAAAACATAAGGATCAGAATACCTCCTGAAGTTATAAAGGAGATGGGCCCATTTTATTTTTTTCCCAGGTTATAGTCATCTACTTTCTTGCCCCCAATTTTATTTGAAATCATTTTTGCCACTCCTCAGAGTAGCAAAATCACATACTCATTAAGCCTCACTTCCTTAAAAAGATCTAAGAATATAAATATAAGCCACGCTGAGAAGCAGTTTACTGGCTATGTAAAATAACAGAACACTGTAAGAGATGGCAAGTCAGTATTAAACTGATTTTTAAATGATACTACAAAAGTCAACTTTAATTACCATGGGTGAAAAATCGTAAAATTCTGCCAATAATGCCAATATTAATAAAAATTCCATTGCCAGATGAAGTATTGCTCTTCCATGCATGATATATGCATAATACAGCATTTTAGGACTCTGAGGGGCTAAATGGCAAGGAATGTGGAGAGAGGTTTACAGATAGACTTGTTCTGAGAACTTATTCTTCATTTTAATTAATTTATTTTTTGTTGAATTATAGTTGATTTACAGTGTTGTGTTAGTTACAGGTGTACAGCAAAGTGATTCAGTTTTATATATATATGTATATATATAATATATATATCTACATGTATGATATATATAAGAATATATATCTATATACATATATATATATATATAGGTTATTACAAAATGTATAGTTCCCTGTGCTATACAGTAGGTCCTTGTTGTTTATCTATCTTATATATAGTAGTGTGTATATGTTAATCCCAAACTCCTAATTTATCCCTCCCTCCCTTTCCCCTTTGGTAATCATAAATTTGTTTTCTATGCCTGTGACTATTTTGTAAATAAGTTCATTTGTATCATTTATTCTTTCATAAAATTCTAGGTGTCACAATATGAATCATATTTCTTAGGCTCATCTGCCTTCTTATAACTTATAACTCATCCTTATTATAAGAATGAAATGGAGAAGACTCAGTCACTATACATACTAGTGTCTCCCAAATGTCAAGGCATCCCTCACACTTGGCTTATCAGGACCTACTGAGAGGGAACCAAACAAAGGCCCTGGGCTTCAGAAATGAAGATCATGCCCAATCCCTGCATTATCTCCTCCTTTCTAACTTCGTTTAGTATGATTTGAGTATCTGGACAGATTTTCACTTTGGGTGGAGCAAGCCTAGAAAAGAGCTTTCTTTACAACTTCAGCAGTGTCCTTTGGTTCCTTTCTCACAACATTTTAGGAAAACACCAATGCCCTTGAAATGATGTTGAATGCTAGGAAACCTGTTATCATAAACTATTAGAGAAGGATGAGAATATTTCCATTCAATCTCCACATCCATTTAAATGTTGGTGTATTAATTATTGGACAATTTAACTCTGGTCTTAAGTTTTCTCATCTACAAAATGAGCATACTAATAATATCTATTACATTGAGAAGATATAAGGATACAGTCTAGAAACTATTAGAATAAGTACAAAAACAGCTGAGGGAGTGATAAATTTGCCTGGGGAGTAGGGGTTGGATATGGGGAATGTTTGTTTCTTTGTTTATTTCTGGGCCAGGAAACAAGAATAGGGCTTTACATAACAGAGAAGAGTAAAAGCAATGCAGAGGGAAACACATGACTAACACAGAGATAGAAAGACATGGCTAATTCATTGTGGAAGAACATGGGGTTACAGGTTGTGATGCTTGAAAATTAACGTGGGGTATAATTGTGAAGTGTTTCGTAGCCTTGCTAAGGAGTTTGAAATCTGTGGTTTCCATGGAACCCATAAAATATTTTCCATGAGCAGAGTGATATGAACAGACCTAGTGTTTTGTAATGACCTTCACAAAAGCACAGCAGTTTTAGCAGAATAATGATGGAAATAAGTCATTTGGCTCTGTTGAAGTAAATCAGACCATAGAAAAATCAATTCCAGCTAGACTGTAGATCTAAATGTAAAGAGTAAATAAAATTTTTAGAGGAAAACATGGGATGTCTTCGTGACCTTGGGGTAGGCAATATTTCTTACAAAGGCACAAAAGAGCATTTATTATAAGAAGAAATTTTGAAAAATCAGGCTATTAAAATTAAAAACTCTTATTCATCAAAAGACAACATTGAGAGTAAAAAGGAAAGCCATAGAGAAAAAAGAAATCTTCAATATTTATGTCTAACAAAGAACATATATCCAGAAAATATAAAAAACTCTACAAATCAATAAAATGCAGACAACTCAATAGAAAGTAGGGTAAAACTATACACATCAATAAATGATGTATAAATTATACTGAGAGATACATACAATAAAAAATGTGTACATATGTTCATCAGAAGACATGTCCAAAAATGTTGAGAATATATTAACAAAATGTTCATCAAAAAGGGTAAATTCTCATACATACATACAACAGAATGCTACACAGCCATAAAAAAGAACAGCTACACACATATACAATATGAGTATACCTCACAAACATAACACAGAATGTGAGAAGTGTGACACATAGAGCACATTCTACTTGATTCCATTTCTACAAAACACAGAGAAAACTACCATATGGTGTTAGAAGTCAGCATGGTGGTTACCCTCGAGGGGATGGGCATGGGAATAGAGAGGGGATAGGCTGAGGCTTCTATGATGCTGGTAGTATTGTCTCTTGATCTGCTGTTAGTAATATTTTGTGCTCACTTTGAAATTCATGAAGTTGCAATTAGGATTTGTGTACTTTTCCATATGTATACGTGAATAAAAATTACAAAAACAAAATCAGAGGGACATCTACTTTCAGCATTATGGCTAAGTAAACATTCTGAAAAGGCCTCCAATGCAAATGCCAAGATACTAGATAAATTACAATGACCATTTTTAAAATCATAGCTGACCTCACGAGAAAGTATTGGAAATATGCATGGAAGAAATAGAAACAAGGAGGGAGCTGAAATTAGAGATGTGCTACTTGAACTCTACCATCTGTGCTGACCTGAGGGCACACATTTCCTAGGAATCCAGAGTTGGGGGATTAAATTGTCTCCCTGGGTTACCACTGTGTGGGACTTGACTCTCCTCTCCCCCTCTTCCCTACCTCTCCCTTTTCTTCTGTCTCTCATTGATAGCACTTTGGTACTGCAAAGTAGTTAAAACCAAACTGACAAATGTAAAGAATTCTCTGTAGAAAAAGTATGTGTGAACTTCAGTTTGGTGCTGTCCTCACTCAAGTTTCCTCCAAATATATCAGCAATTCCCTTGCTCGTCTCATTTTCTGACAGTGAATGGCTGCCCTCAGCAATCTTCTGATTTACATTTAACCCATCACTTGCAGACTTTTTCTCCTACCCCATTTAAGGTACCAGGTGACTTTCTGTTTAAGAGACACTTCATGTACCTCTTATTCTGAAAGATAATAACATTATAAAAGAGTTCTACACTGTAACTCAAGGGGGAAAGAAGCACCTGGCATGGGTCCCAACATTCCCAGTAATTCCATCATGACCTCAGGCTAGTTACCTGACCTATTTGGGCCTCAGTAATTTCATTTGTCAAATTTAGTGAGAGGACTCTGATTTTTTAGGAATTATGCTGTAGGAGGAAAGAATATCAGCTTTGGGGTCAGGAAGACTGTCTCTGCTCTGGACCAGGTAAGCATATACTGAAACCCCAGGCAGCACTTAAACAGATGAGGTAGATCTGTGTGCCTCAAATGGAAAAAACTCTGAGATGTATTGTTAAACAATAAAGAGCAGAGCAATATGAATGGCATTCTACTTGCTAAATACATATTATGAATAAAAAATATATCATCAATAAAAAATTTCTGCAAGGAGCTACATAAATCAAGTTTCCTCTGTGCATTTAAAAGAAGGAGTTTTGAATAATTAACATGTGGATTATAACATGTTATACATGTTATAAATTACAAATATAGTTAAATTTTTTTTCAGTGAACTGGCACAAAGTTGTAATTAAATAAAATTCAGTTTCCTTTTCCATGGCAAACAGTCTGTGAAGCTACTGATTTGGGGAGTTAAAAAAAAAAAACAAAAAACCTAAGAATGAAAATATTTGAAATTAGTAGATTATCTAACAATACCATAGTAACTTTTCAAAAAGTCAAATAAATTTTACAGTGAGACTTTTTTATTCGGGGTTGGATGGAGATTTGGTACGCAATCAAGCTTGATCAAGAAGAGTTTGGGAACAGACAGAGGAAAAGGGTAAAAGATTTAGCCAAGTCCTTTTCTTTGGGAAAGAAAGCTGAGACAGAACAGGTGATGAACAGGATAGAGACAGAGCAAGACAAAGCAGGATGTTTTTATGGCATCTTCTAGAGATTACAGAGGCAGCCAAGCAAGTATCCTATAGAAGCTGCTAAAAGGGATTGTGAATTACTAATATAGGCTCTCTAAAGGACTACAGCGATGATAGGGAAGTGGCATTATGTAACCTAATTTAAGGGTTTTAGTCTAATTTTTAAATTCAATTTAGGGTATAAAACATAAGGTGTACCAAAGAGAGAAATCCTCAGGTATGAGTTCTTCTGACCGCTGAGGAGCTACTTAATAGAACCCCATTTTTAGAGGTACATAGTCCAGAAAAAAGAGCAGTCAGTTTTTCTGGCTGTGAGACTGAATCAGATAAACACCCTGTGCCCTGAGGGACAAAACTGTAAAATGAGCCTTATTTCTCATAAGTGTCCCTTTTGCCGACTGCTCACAAATTGTAGGTTGGCTTATTGAAGGACTCCTGTGTCAATGGTGCTGTCACTTTGTCTTTTGGCCTTTCGTAAAACCAACCAATTTAGGGGTTTTTTTGTTGTGGTTTTTTTTTTTGCGGTACGCGGGCCTCTCACTGTTGTGTCCTCTCCCGCTACGGAGTACAGGCTCCGGACGCGCAGGCTCAGCAGCCATGGCTCACGGGCCCAGCCACTCCGCGGCATGTGGGATCTTCCCGGACCAGGGCACGAACCCGTGTCCCCTGCATTGGCAGGCAGACTCTCAACCACTGCGCCACCAGGGAAGCCCCCAGCTCTTTTTTTTTTTTTTTAATAAATTTATTTATTTTATTTTTGTCTGCGTTGGGTCTTTGTTGCTGCGCGTGGGCTTTCTCTAGTTGCAGCGAGCAGGGGCTACTCTTTGTTGCAGTGCGCGGGCTTCTCACTGCAGTGGCTTCTTTTATTGCAGAGCACGGGCTCTAGGCACGCAGGCTTCAGTAGTTGTGGCTCGCGGGCTCTAGAGCGCAGGCTCAGTAGTTGTGGCACACGGGCTAGTTGTTCTGCAGCATGTGGGATCTTCCCAGACCAGGGCTCGAACCTGTGTCCCCTGCACTGGCAGGCGGATTCTTAACCACTGCACCACCAAGCAAGCCCCAATTTTAGCTCTTTTAAAGAATGTTCTTCTTTTCTCATATTTATTAGATCTCTAATATTCATCAGATGTCCTTGAATTCCTATTATATATATTTTTTCTTTTTCTTCAACCTTGGTTGTTGTAGAGAAATACAGAGAATCTCTTCATGATGTTCAAGTAAGGAAGGCAGGAAATTAAATAACCTCAAAAAGATGAAATACAGCAAATATAAATGGTGATGTATTCCTAGCCACAACTAACTCCAAAACACTCTATCAGTCAAAAAAATCATAATCTTAGGGAAAAATAAATATCTTCAGAAATGGCAAAAGCCCTTACCGAAAAAGATAGACAAAGAAATGCCCCAGCAAGTTAGACTAAGAACATGGCTGAAAATCTGAGAAATAAAGTCATCAGAACATGTACAAATTCTCTAATAACCGAATTGAAATTAAAATTAGGGTGGTGAACAATTTTTCATAATGTGAGAATGAAAATTCTGAGAGTGTATGTTTTTAAGCACAGTTAAAGGGCAACTGGTTAACTCTATAAATCAAAAAGTAAAACGTAAATCATTTTAATCAGAATTAAACCTTAAGCACCCTTGGGTCTAGCAAGGAGCAAACATGGGTGTCAGCATCAGATGTGTATGAGGAGGTAACACATTTACTGGAAACTGAAGGAGGAGCAGACTGAAACAAACAAAGGCCACTTAGTTGGTGCAAAAACTGTCAGTGCTCATAAATCCCACATGTTTCTCTACATTTTCCAATCTCCCTTGCAGTCCGATTAGTGCCATGTGACTGAGTTCTAGCCTATGACATGTGGGCATAAATGGCATAAGCTATTTTTAAGCTTTATCTCGAAACACCTTCTCAATCATTCATTTTCTATCTACAGTGACCATTGAGATAACATAATGATGGCATCATGAGATGTAAAAAGCTTGGATCCCTGAACTTGGGGGACAGGCCCCAAGGGGAGCCCTATGATCTACACTGATGAGGTGTATTATTATTACATTATTACATACAATATTATTCTGTTAAGGCATTGAGATTTCAAGGTTTGTTTGAAACATAGGATAACCTAGAATAGTGCTTCTGAAATTTTGGAAGACACAAAAATTCTCTGAAGATCTTGTTAAAACACAGGTTTCTGAGTGACCTCCAGAGAGATTCTGATTTGATAGGTCTGAAAGGTGGGAAAACTCATTTTGTATATCTAAAACACTCCCAGTTTTTGTTGATGCTGCTGGTCTACAGAACACATTGATCTAAATATCCTGAATAAAATACTAGGAGTGGGGGCTTCCCTGGTGGCGCAGTGGTTGGGAGTCTGCCTGCCGATGCAGGGGGCGCAGGTTCGTGCCTCGGTCCGGGAGGATCCCACGTGGCGTGGAGCGGCTGGACCCGTGGGCCGTGGCCGCTAAGCCTGCGCGTCCGGAGACTGTGCTCCGCGGCGAGAGAGGCCACGGCAGTGAGAGACCCGCGTACCGCAAAAAAAAAAAAAAAAAATACTAGGAGTGGAATTAGATAATAAAGACTGTGTGAAAGATGTGAGGTCCTGAGGCAGGAAGGCACCTCAACCTTACATGTACAAGGATCTGAAGGTAGGTTAGTGTAGAAGAATTATAAAGCAAAGAGTATGAATCAAGAATGAAACTGAAAGTTTGACCTGGAAACCTTGAGATCAAATGGGAACCAAATCAGAATTTCCAGTGCAAGCTTGTGACACTATTCACTACTAATTGGCCCACCAACATGTTAAGGTACTGATGGGGTACAAGATTTACTCACAAATACAACACATGTGAATGCCAATATATTCATCTCCTAGAGGTCTCCAGGACAAATTGAATGGGTCCTGAAAAACCCGAAGAGCCAAACATTTTCTATCAGGTGTAAAAGTTGCAACGTGAATGAGCATTTTGTTACAGACTTCTTCTGTATGAATAACCTGACTCTGGTTTACAAATTATACCTGGTAAAGGAGGCGGGAGCCAGAGTGGCATTAGCATGGAGCCACCAGAGACCTCAAGTAGGAGTAGCAATGTACTCATTGATGATGATGACCCCAGTGGGTAGGAGATTAATGCCCAAAGCACTGTGTCTTAATACCAGGTGCTCAGTAGAATCCTAAAGGGAGCTTTAAAAATTACTTTGTCTGGGACACTCCTAGAAATTCTAATTCAGTTGATCTGGGTTAAGGGTGCCCAATATATCTTGTCATACCTTTAAAAAAAGTCAGCTGCTTTTCATAAATGTCCAGATGCTTTTAGTCATTAAAATGTTCATCCTGGTTCCTAAAATTTCAATACTAATCATTTTAAAGAGTCAGTATCTTGAAGCACTTACACTCTTCTCCTCCCCAGCATAGGCTAGGACAGAGGTAGTAGCAGCTTAGAGAGCAGAGAGATGGGGTGGGGAGAGGAGAATCTGTTTGTACTTGCACCTTTCCATGTTTTTTTTTTTTTTCCTTTCCACTTCTGTGGCAATCACTCACTTCTATATGGCATGACTTTAAATGTGCCTCTCACGTGGGTGCATTGGTGGGCTCTTCAAAAAGCCTTATGAGGTTGTCCTCTGCTAGGGGCTGAATTGTGCCCCTAAAATTCATATATTGAAGTCATAACCCTCAGTACCTCAGAATATGACTGTATTTAGAGATAGTGCCTTTAAAGAGGTAATTAAGGTAACATGAAGTCATATGAGTTGGCCCTAATCCAATATGACTCATGTGCTTATAAGAAGAGATTAGGAAACAGACAATACAATGACCAAGGGCAACCATGTGAGGACACAACAAGAAGGCAGCCAGCTAAAAGCCAAGGAGAGAGGTCTCAGAAGAAACCAAACCTGACAACACCTTGATCTCAAATTTCTAGTCTCCGGAATTTTGAGAAAATAAATTCCTGTTGTTGAAGCGACCCAGTCTGTGTTTTTTCTTATGGAAGCCCAGGCAAACAAACATACACCCTCTGTACGGGAACTCCAGATGCTCAGGAACAGTCAGTCCCTTATCTCCCCTAGGCCTTCACTCACTGTGGACTAATTAGATATTCCCTGTTGTTCAGAAATCCTTTGCCCACTGATGTCTTGGGGGAGGGTTGACAGAATTACTCATGACGTTTCATTTTCCACATCCTCCATTCAGCGCATGGGAAATCTGCATATCAAAAAATAAAATAAAATACTGCATCAAGACCACTCCTCTCTATCTCTCCTCGCTCAGCATCTGCTCCTTTCTCCATGATCCTGGAGGATTAAGGACTCTAGTGCACGGGCCTGGCAACCTTTCAGGCAAGAGCTTTCCCAAGGATGCTAAGAGAATGGTGTCAACCACCCCAAGTTTTATGTGCTCTTCTCTAAGGAGTCCCTTACCTTGCTCCTGGTAAAAGGGAATCAATCACATCTTCTTATGAATACTCTGCTCTTTAAAAAAAAAAAAGAGAGCTTCCATCTATAGAGACCTTAGTCTTGGTTCCAAGCCCTGAAGTGGCCTCAGGGCTCAACATGGGTGAATCTCAAAAACTATAATGTTGAGTAGGTACACAAAAAACGTACATACACTATGATTTCTTTTATATAAAGATCTTAAAACAAGCACAACAAATAGATGGGGAATACAGTCCAAACGGGATAACTTTGAGGGATTATTGACTAGAAGAGGAAAAGATAAAGGTTTTTGTGGTGCTGAGTAATATTCTAGTATTTTGATCTTTGAAGTAGTTCAAAGATCTACTCAAAGATCAAATCTACTCTAATATGACTCACCTACAAATTGGGTAAGTTATTTCTGTAAGTGTTATACTTGTCAAATGCTCATTAAGGACAGTGACCTAAATGAGATACTTTTGTGTAAATCAACAGCTTATCTAATTTCTGGTCATGTACCTGATTTTACTTAAAGTATCACTTTTATTTATGTATAATTATCCTTCCCCCCCACACACACACATTTTTGTACCAATCTTAACTCATTCTCAGGCATTCTTTAAAGCACTGAAATATAAGAGACTACCTTACTCCTTGAATGGGCAAATCCTGTAACAGGAAAATGTTTCAGTAACAGAACTAACTATGCAGGAACCATAAGGGATTTTATAAATTTGACCGTGTAAGATAAATTTTAAAATTTGATGAAGCATTTCAACCACAAAGCAAATATATAAACAAAAATTCTACCATTTACAATGTCAGAAGATCATCTGTAATTAATTGCAGGCACATACATTCAACAAAACTTTCAACCTAGTAGAAAATTGGATAAAAGTATGAAGTTAACTCATACGAGAATGAATATAAATGCTTAAATAAGACTATAAATATCTCAACCTTCTTAATCATTAAAGAATAAAGTAGCTATTTTTTTCAGCTTTTAAGTCTGGCAAAGCCTTAAGAGAATAATAAAAATCAGTATCAGAGGGAGTGTAAATTGTTAATTTTTTGGAAAGGAATATTTAAATGGCTGCAAAAATTTTTGCTTGTTTCTCAACCATCAATTTCAATTCTAGGAATTCTAAAAACAATACACTTATGATTGTGATATATGTTTAAAGATATTTACTGCAGGATTTCTATAGGTCTGCTTCTAGGGACAACTTACTATTCATAATTTAAAATTACTTCCTGATTTCAGAAAGTTTATATGGTACATTTATTATGCAGTACCATCACAGGCATTTGAGGAAGCATTTTATGACCAGTAACATTAATATTTCTATAGCAGAATCTATGAATGTTCACACTAAGTAGAACAAACACAGACTATAAATAATTTAAAGTAAATTCTGATCATGTTTTGACATCAAATGAATTCAGTTAAGTTTAGGTTTGACTTCCAAATTAATGGGAAGATACTTTCAATTTTAAGTGCTTTTTGGGTTTCAGAACCGCAGATAAGGTACCATAGACCTATATGAGAAAAACATCTGGAAACTAAACAAATGTTCATCAAATAATTATCTTAAATTAGGATTCTTTTTAACATGTATTCTAAGCAATATTTTTAAAAAGCAAGAGAATCAATGTTTAAAATATAAATGCCCAAGATATACAATAAGATGAAATTAACAAGTTTTGGAGTAACAGCATTATCCATTTCTTTCATACAGTAGGATTTCTGGTAACATTTCTTTTTCCTTTAGAGAAATAATTGGAATGGAAGACCTAAAGTCTACTGAGAGGAAACATACAGATTTTATATGTTTTCCAGAGTCTTTTTTTTTTTTGGAGCCTCAACTCCTTCTCCTAATAAATATCATCTATTCTACCTAGAGGTAATAAAACTTATTAGAATGGATCAAGATGAACCTGAAGCCCAAAGATGGGCTACAGTGGGGACAAGGAGGGCTCCAGGATACAATCTCCATGAAGGAAGAAAGAGTCAGGTGTCAAGGATAAACGTAAACTTAGTCACACTTGAAGACTCTGCCTGTACACAGGGCTGTTTTCTAAGTGAATTAAATATCTGTGATTTGAAAACAGGGCATTGGAACTCACATCAACAATAATGGTTCAAATTCCCTGATATGTAAAGAACTCTGCAAATCAAGAAGAAAAACATGAAAAACTCTTTAGAAACAAGTCATAAAACATGAAAATTCACGTACAAAAGAATTGTAAGCAATTCTTAAACATTTTTCAATTATCTTTTTTTCTCCATATTTCATTCTAAATAGTTTCTATGGTTATGTCTTCAAGTTCACGTAAGGGACCTAACCTCATCCATGAGAGGCATTTGCAGGTTAAAACTACAGTGAGGACTTTCATTTTCAACCAGGATACAGTAACTAGAAGCAGATTTACCCTCCCCCTGAAATAACCAAAAATGGGCAAAATACAGTTTGACACAATTTTCAAGACTCGACATCACACAACAAAGGACGGTGATCCGTGATAAATGGGCAGCAAACAAGGTGTACCTTTTCTGGAGAGCTCCCAAGCTGCTGTGCTAGGAGGAGAAACCAGGCTGGAACCCAGCTGACAGCCTGAAGAGAGAATGAAATAAGGAACTAGAGAGACTCAGAGACCCAGGTGGCTAGAATGTTCAGGATAGAGCATCAGAGAAGAGGGAGCTGCACAATGAGAGATCTTCAGAAAGCTATAGAGATCTCCCTCTGGTAGTTTCCTCACATGTGCTTTAAAATATCTTCATTCCTCTGTAACTAAGATATCACTTTTCTCTAGCTCTTTCTGAGTTTTCTGTTTTCTCTTTATCACTGGTTTTAAACAATTTGATTTTGATTTAATATGGTGTAGTGGTTTTTTTTTTTACTGTTTCTTATGCTTCAGTTTCATTGATTTTCTTGGTTCTGTGGGTGTACAGTTTTCATCAAATTTTGAGAAAATTTTGACCACAATTTCTCCAAATATTTGTTTTATCTCCTGATCTCTCCACCTTTTGGGGCTCCTATTACTTGTATTTTTGACTGCTTGATGTTGTTCCACAGCTCACTGATGTTGTTTCTTTGTGGGGTTTTTTTTTGGGGGGGAGTGGTTCTTTCTTTTTCTGAGTTTCATTTTAGTTTCTACTGCTACGTCTTTTTCTTTTTTTTTCTTTTTCAATGTCTAATCTGCCATTAATCCCATCTTGTGAATTTTTCTTATCATACATTGTATTTTTCATCTCTAGATGTTCCATTTCAGCCTTTTATAAATCTCCCATACCTCTCCTTAAACTCTGAACATATGAAAGTGTTGTAGTAACTATTTTGTGTCTTTGTCCATTAATTCCAACATCTATGTCAGTTCTGGGTTTCAGTTGATTGATTTTTTTTATTATCGTATGAGTTATATTTCCTTCCTTATTTGTATGTCAGGTAATTTTGGATTGGATGCCTGATTTAGTGAATTTTACTTTGTTGAGTGCTATATATTTTTTTCATTGCCATAAATACTCTTGAGCTTTATTCTGAAATGTGGTTAAGTAACTTGGAGAAAGTTTGATTCTTTGGGGTCTTGCTTTTAAGATTTGTTAGATGGGACCAGAGCAGTGCTCAGACTAGAGCTAATTATTTCCCATTGATGACACAGATCCTTTTGTGTCCTTTATCAAATGCCCTGTTAAAATAAGTTTTTCAAGACTGACTCATGGGAACAGACACAACTCCTGGTGCTGTGTGAGTACCAGAAATTATTTCCTCTAATCCTGTGGAATGGTTCTTTCCTGGCCTTGGGTATCTCTCAAATGAATTTAAATGTTCTGAAAGGAAAACAAGAATTGATAACCTAGAATTCTATAATAAGCAAAAATATCTGTCAAAAACAAAGGTGAAATACTTTTTCATAAATACAAAAGCTGAAAGAATTCACCAGCAACAGACTCTTATAAAAGAAATATTAAAAGAAAAATTTCATAGTAGGAGGAAAGTGAATATTGCTGTAAATATACATCTATACAAAGAAGAGAATCAGAAAGGGCAACTACATGTATAAATATATAAAAAGCTTCTCACTTTTAAAATCTACTTAAAATATAACTGACTTTTTTAAACAAAAACAAAAAACAATAACAATGTAATATGACATTTTTAACCTATATAAAAGTAAAATCAACAATAGCACAGAGATCGGGAGGAGAGAAATGGAAGTTTACTATTCCAAGGTTCTATGACTACATGTAAAGTGTCATAATACCAGCTGAAAGTAGATACATATAGTTTACAATTATGTAAACAATAAACCTTAAAGCAGTCACATATAAAATAAAGAGCTATAGATAATGAGCCAATAAAGGAGAGAAAGTCATTAAAATATTTGATTCATCCTAAAGAAGGCACAAGATATGAAGGATGAAAATAAGAAGAGATGGGGCAACTAAAATTAGCTATAGGGCAGATTTAAAGTATCATGTTAATAATTACATTAAATTCACATGGCCTAAATACCCCAATTAAAAAGCAGAGGTTTCAGATTAGTTAAAAAGTAGGGTACAGATAAACATATGCAGCCTACAGGAAAAGAGCTTTAAATACAAGGTCCAAATAGGTTAAAAAGTTAAAGAATAGAAAACTGTATACCCTGCTCACACTAATGAAGAGAAATGTGGAATGGATATATTAATATCAGAAAAATTATTTCAGAGTAATAAATATTATCAAGGATTTTAAATGGTAATCTTATAATGTAATTGGTTATTTTATCAAGAGGTCATAGCAATACTGTATATGCACCCAATAACTGAGCCTCAAAATACACAATAGAATTCCAAAGGGAAGCAAATTCACAATTATAATTGGAGATTTCAATACCCCTCTACCAATAATTGACAGAAAAATAGATACAAGATCAGTAAAAGGTAGAAATTTAAATTATACAATTAGCCAACATGATCCAATTAGTATTTATACAATATTCCTCCCAACAGCAGAACACATTACTTTAGGTACACAAGACACATTTAACAAGATAGACTATATTTTGGACCATGAAACAAGTCTCAGCAAATCTTTAAAGGATGCAAGCCATATATAGTATGTTCTCTAACCACAAAAAGAACTAAATTAGAAGTCAATAACAGGAAAATCTTCTAACCACAAAAAGAACTAAATCAGAAGTCAATAACAGGAAAATCCCTCAATATTTTGAAACTAAATAACACATTTATAAATAAACCATAGATCAAGAATAAATCAAAAGTGATTTTAAAAATAACTTTGAATTTAATAAAAATTTTTAAATATCAAATTTTATACAATGCTGTAAAGCAGCATTTAAGAGGAAATTTATAGCACTGAACCCTGTTAATTAAAAAAGAAGAAAGTTCTCAAGTTAATGGTCTCAGCCTCTACCTTAAGAAACTAGGAAATTATGGGAAAATTAAACCCAAAGTAATCAGACGAAAAGAAATATCAAAAATCAAGACAGAAATGAATGAAATAGAAAACAATTTAAAAAATCAATGAAATGGAAAAAGCAATGATCTATTATTAATGAACACAACAACATAAGTGAATCTCAAAATAATAATGCTGAGTAACAAAAGTTGGGCAAAAAAAAAGGACAAACTTTATGATTCCATTTATATGGAATTATGGAAAATGAAAAACAATCCATAGTGACAGAAAACAGATCAGTGGCTGCCTGTCGGTGGGGTAAGGAAGAGAAGGGAGAGAGAAAAGTATTACAAAGAGGTATAAGGAAACCTCTGGGGATGATGGATATGTTCATTGTTTTTATCATGATCATGATTTCATGGTCATATACATATGTTACAAGCCATCAAACTATACTCTTTAAATATCACCAGTTTATTCTATGTCAGTTATTTCTCAATAACACTGTTATAAAAAAATGAAACTACACTGAAAATCAAATGACAAATGACATATATACAAGGTTATTCTGCATAAGGAATAAAAACAATATATTCAATGCAACCTAAGTGTCCAGAAAAAGGGACTTGTTAAATTATGCTCCTCCAACTCTGTAGACAGAAAAGTATTTTTATGCATGACTATGAAGTAATCTCCATGATTTATTATTAAGAATACACACAAACACAGGCAGATACACAAACCTCAAAAACACAAAATGAAGAGCAGTATATATTTTATGTTTCTGTTTTTGATATTAAAAAAAAAAGGATAGACAAAGAACATGTGCCATACCTGGAAAGTATACATGAGAAAGTGAAAGTATTAGTTACCATTAGCGAGGTGACACTGGTGTCTAGAAGACAGAAGAGTGACAGCAAATTTTTTCTTATACAGTTGACCCCTGAACAACACAGGTTTCGGGTTTTTCTCAATGGTAAATGTTACATTACTACACAATTGGAGGTTAGTTGAACTGGCGGATATGGAACCACAAATAGGGAGGAACCACATATACACAGGGTCCTATAAATTACACAGGATATTTGACTGTGCAGAGGGTGAGGGTCCCTAACCCACACATTGTTCAAGGGTCATTCAATCTTTCATAATCTCGATCCTTCAATCTTTGAAACATGTAAACGTCTTACCTATTTAAACATATTTTTTAAGATCCCTGGCAATAAAGTATAATACTAATGAAAAATTAGTCAAGTTGTGGAATCAGATAGCTTGTACTAACTGTGTTGGCTCTGGGCAACTTAAACTCTTAATTTTCTTAAAAGGATATCACAGATATCTCCTCCTAGGATCTTTACGAGTAATAAACAAACACTTAGAACAGTACCTGCCACTATAGTAAACAAGCAATATTTTTTATTGAAATATAGTTGATGTGCAATATTATGTTAGTTTCAGGTGTACTATATAATGATTTGATACTTGCATAGATTATGAAATGATCACCAGGATAGTGTAGTAACCATATGTCACCATACAAAGTTATTACAATATTACTGACCATATTCCTAATGCTGTATATTACAACCCCATAACTTACTTATTATATAAGTGGAGGTTTATATTTCTTTATCCCCTTCGTCTATATTGCCTACTCTCCCAACGCCCCCTTTCTTCTGACAACGACCTATTTGTTCTCTATGAGTCTGATTTCATTTTGCTTTTGTTTTGTTTTTTAGATTCCACATATAAATGAGTTCATGCAGTCTTTTTCTCTGTCTGACTTATTTCCCTAAGCACAATACCCTCTAGATCCATCCATGTTGTCTCAAATGACAAGGTTTCATTTTTGTTTTTTATGGCTGAATAATATTCCACTGTATGTGTATACCACATCTTTTTTTTTTTAACATCTTTATTGGAGTATAATTGCTTTACAATGGTGTGTTAGTTTCTGCAGTATAACAAGTGAATCAGCTATACATATACATATATCCCCATATCTCCTCTCTCTTGCATCTCCCTCCCACCACATTGTCTTTATACATTCATCTATCAGTGGACACTTAGGTTACTTCCATATCTTAGCTATTGTAAATAATGCGGCAGTGAACATACAGGGTGCACATATCTTTTTGAATAGTGTTTTATTTTCTTCAGGTTAATACTCAGAAGTGGAACTGCTGGATCGTATGGTGGTTCTCTTTTTAATTTTTTGAGGAACCTCCATACGTTTTTTATAATGGTTGTACCAATTTACAACCACACCAGCAGTGCCATGAGGTTTTCCTTTTCTCC